TGGTCTCGATCTCCTGACCTCGTGATCCGCCCGTCTCGGCCTCCCAAAGTGCTGGGATTACAGGCTTGAGCCACCGCGCCCGGCCGTTAATCTGAACTTTTATCAAGTCTTGGGTTGTATCTTACATGACAACATGATTAATAAACTTACGATAGAGTATGTTTCACAAGGGTTTCCTAAGAATCCTAAAGCTCAACAAAATACATTCTTTGAAATAATCAAAATAACACAGAAAGAACAGTGACATTCTGGTTTAATTTGTGTGTTTCATCTTTACCTATTACCACAGTACCAAATGATGGGTCAGATCAAGCTCTGGGTCAGAAGACAAGATATATTTAATTACAACCCCAGAAATACTTTTATAAGAGTCTTAACTAGGCTGGGATTACATCTGTAATCCCAGCACTCTGAGAGGCCATGGTGGGAGGACCAGATTGAGTCCAAGATCCAAGACAGCCTGGGCAACATGGCAAGGCCGGTTTCCACAAAAAATTACAATTAAAAATTACGCCGTGCATGGCAGGGGCACACGTGGTGCTACCAACTCAGGAGGAGGCTGAGGCAGGAGGATCACTTAAGCCCTGAGGTCAAGAGACCTGCAGGTGAGCTGTGTTCATGTCACTGAACTCCAGCCTGGGTAACAGAATGAGATTCTTGTCTTACACACACACACACACACACACACACACACACACAGAAAAAAGGGTCTTAGCTATATTATTAGCTAGATACACAAGTCAAGAGATACTCATATCTAAAAAAGAAAAAATAAATATAAAAAAGGATATTTACATGCAGGGAGAATACAGTCTTAGTGTCAAAAATATTAAACATGTTTAGCAAGGACCTGGATGAAAGTATCAAGGCTCTAGTAGTTAGGTCTGCACACAGCAAAAAGTTTGGCTAATACCAAAATGTAGCTAATATCATGGAAAAACGAAATGGCCGGGCACAGTGGCTCATGCCTGTAATCCCAGCACTTTGGGAGGCCGAGGCAAGCGGATCATGAGGTCAGGAGATCAAGAGCATCCTGGCTAACATGGTGAAATCCGGTTTCTACTAAAAATACAAAAAAATTAGCTACGTGTGGTGGCATGCACCTGTAGTCCCAGCTACTCGGGGGGCTGAGGCAGGAGAATCGTGCCATTGCACTCCAGCTTGGGCAACAAGAGCAAAACTCCGCCTCAAAAAAAAAAAAAAAAAACCAACAAAAAAGAAAAATGAAATGAAGCTTAAAATGACCAAGAACAATTAGAATCATTCATTGAAAGAGTATGAATTTAGAAATGGAAAAGTATAAAGAAGTACGATGCCCGGCACAGTGGCTCACACCTGTAATCCCAGCACTTTGGGAAACCGAGGCGGGCAGATCACCTGAGGTCCAGAGTTCGAGACCAGCCTGACCAACATGGAGAAACCCTGTCTCTACTAAAAATACAAAATTAGCCGAGAGTGGTGACACATTCCTGTAATCCCAGCTACTCGGGAGGCTGAGGCAGGAGAATCGCTTGAACCTGGGAGGCGGAGGTTGCGGTGAGCAGAGATCGCACCATTGCACTCCAGCCTGGGAAACAAGAGCAAAAACTCCGTCTCAAAAAAAAGAAAAAAAATAAGTATGATGAGGAACAATTAAAACCAAGAAACAACCACCACCACCACAGACAGAGGATGGTCTGTTACAAAAACGACAGAAACGTGAACACAAAGTAATCAATGATGTAGTACACCAATATAGTGGCTTTTTAAAAGTTAATTTTGTAGGCCAGGCATGGTGGCTCATCACACCTGTAATCCCAGCACTTTTGGAGGCCAAGGCGAGTGGACTGCTTTAGCTCAGGAGTTCAGAGACCAGCCCGGGCAACATGGTGAAACCTCGTCTACCAAAAATACAAAAATTAGCTGGGCGTGGTAGCACACGCCTGTGGCCCCAGCTACTTGAGAGGTTGAAGTGGGAGGATCGCTGGAGCCTGGGAAGTCAAGGCAGCAGTGAGCCATGATCATGCCACAGCACTCCAGCCTGGGTGACAGAGGGAGACTCTGTCTCTAACTAACTAACTAAATAATTTTGCAGATCACTCTGTTGAAACAAACAACTACCTGATCCTCAGGTCCCCTTTTGCAACTGCCATTACTGAAAGGGAAAAGATTCCACAAGAAAATTAAATAGCCTGGATATGGCGGCTCTCACCTGTAATTCAAACACTTTGGGAGGCGTAGGCAAGAGGACAGCTTGAGCCCAGGTGTTCAAGACAAATTTGGGCAACATAATGAGACTTTATCGCTATTAAAAATTTTAAAATTAGCCAGGCATGGTGGCATGCACCTGTAGTCCTAGCTACTCACAGGATGAGCTGGGAGGACTGCTACACTCCAGCCTGGGCAACGATGAGAGACCCTATCTCAAAAACAAAAGCAAAAAAAGTCGCTGGCATCATTTATGCACGTTTTTAAAAAGTTTCAAAACAGGGCCGGGCACGGTGGCTCAAGCCTGTAATCCCAGCACTTTGGGAGGCTGAGACGGGCGGATCACGAGGTCAGGAGATCGAGACCATCCTGGCTAACCTGGTGAAACCCCGTCTCTACTAAAAAATACAAAAAACTAGCCGGGCGAGGTGGCAGGCGCCTGTAGTCCCAGCTACTCGGGAGGCTGAGGCAGGAAAGTGGCGTAAACCTGGGAGGCGGAGCTTGCAGTGAGCTGAGATCCGGCCACAGCACTCCAGCCCGGGCGACAGAGCGACAGAGCGAGACTCCGTCTCAAAAAAAAAAAAAAAAAAAGTTTCAAAACAGGATAGGGGAAACAAAACAAAACAAAACAAAAAATTGTATCTATAAATAAATCAATGAAGTTTCTAGAGCAAGGAAAAAAAAAAAAAACTCTGCCTCTTAGGTAATTCAGGAACTACTCTGAGACTTAACTACTAATTATTGCCTGATCAAATGACTTGCACTTCTTACTCTACTATCCTCCCCTCTTACCTCTTTAATTATCTAGGTCCTATATAGCCATAAAGGCCAAATTCAAGTGCCAATTCCACTATGATGGCTTTGATGGCTTCACTATCTACACCAGCTCTTGTTACTTCTCTTCACTGTACAGACTGTAGATTCATTCGTTTGGTTTCATACATATATCCTATTATATTCCTTTTTGTAAGCATCTACCTTTGAATCCTATGGTTTTTAAAATTCTTGTGGACAGAGGCAATTTCTTACTTATTTTTGTCTAATTAGACCCATGAACACTGTAGCTAAGAAAGGATAATTAATTAGGTGAGAGGATCCTGCCAGTGTATCTTCTATTTCTAGGGGCCAGAATATGAGCACATGAACCTAACATGATCTAGACAAGATTTAGAGATGGAGTTGAAGATACTGACAAATATTGGAACAATCTACCACAAGGGTGATATTGAGTCACTATTTTTGCAGAGCTTTGTTACTAGTTTGCCTTAAATAATTCAGAGTTTGTCCTGGGAGTAAGGAGTGGATAAGAGTGAACTTAACAATCTTTTAAATTTCCTTCAAGTTTTATGATCGCGACATAGGGGCAACAGGAGAGGAGAAAAAGTTTGGAAATCAAACACAAATATTTTCAGATTACTGCTAGGTATGTAAATTGCTAAGACAATGCCGGTAGGGGTACTCATTCAAAAACACCGAGTGCCACTCTGTACGGGCCACTAAATTGGGCACTGTGGATATGAAGGTTCATTCCTTGCTTACTGTACCCACAGGTGCCAAAAAATGACCACTACAAAATAGTCGTTATAACTGAGGGAACAAAGCGCCATAGCAGCAACAAAAAGCGGTTCTTGCTGCTTCGTGGGATAGGGGGCTGAGAAGCCTCACAAAGGCGACGTCCTCGCAGTCTAAAGAGGAATGGGCAAGGAGGACGAGGGTGGGGCTCAAGCATCCGTCCGATAAAAGTGAGCAAGAAGAACCGAGGCCCAGGGTGAGGAGGAACGGCGAACTACCTGCAGAAGGGCGAAGGTCTGTGCTGCTGAAGGGGGAGACGGAGTACCAATGTACGAGGCTTTATAAAAACGGCCGTTTGGTAAAGGGCAGTGACTCTGGAGCTTTTTCTCTAGGGATCCCGCCCGTCCTCCCCAGTTGAGCCTCGGCCCCAGCAGCCCAGTGCCTCACCCAAATGCCCCGAGTCCTGCTTCCGCCTCCGCTGCAGCCTCTCCCGCAGAGAGTCCAGCTGCTTCTTGTGGGCCTGGATAGAGCTCCACGTGTCCGACATCCTAGTCTCCCAGCCCTGACGCCTCTCGAATAAGGCGCGGCGGACTAGCACCTCCCAGCACTCGCTCCAGGATATAACCAATTCTCTCGCGGGCACCCCGAAGGCTAACCGGAAAATGACCCCTAGAGGTGAGCAAGACAGAAAAGTCATTTCCGGTGTCGCGCTTTCTTGGAAGCTATAAAGAGAGCCACGTTAGGTGTTGGCAGAGCGGCCAATATAGTCCTTATTACCAGCTCTCTCTTGCTTCCGGGCACAGTGAGGCTGTGGTTGCCATGTTGGTGACTGGCAGAGCGGCCATGTTGCTTATAGACGCGCATGCGGCCATGTTGAATATTCGGAGAGGAGTCCTGAGAGGTACCTACGTTAAAATAGCACTCAGAGAGAGCAACACCGTATAGTACAGATTTTTTTTTTTTTTCCCCCGAGACGGAGTTTCACTCTGTCACCCAGGCTGGAGTGCAATGGCGCGATCTCGGCTCACTGTAACCTCCAGCTCCCGGGTTCAAGCGATTTTCCTGCCTCAGTCTCCCGAATAGCTGGAATTACAGGCGCCCGCCACCAAGCCCGGCTAATTTTTTGCATTTTTAGTAGAGACGTGGTTTCACGCCAGGCTAGTCTCGAACTCCTGACCTCGTGATGCGCCCGCCTTGGCCTCCCAAAGTGCTGGGATTACAGGCGTGAGCCACCACGCCCGGCCATAGTGAACAGATTTTTAAGATGAAGGATCACTAGTTCCTTTTGACAGTTTGGTACTAACATACCTGTTCCACTGAAGATGTTGTTGGTTTGTTTCCATGCGTTCATTTACAAAAAAATAAAAAGCACAATGGTGGTCCCCAGTCTGAGGTGGGGAGGGAGCGGTGGTGGGTACGCGCATGCTTCTTTGTGTGGGCGAGGCGTGCGAAAGTGAGGAGGGCAGGTGAAGGAAAGATACGAGACGTCTTCAAATACGTGATCTCTCTCTTAGGCTAAATTTACAAAGTACATGTAATCGATTAAAATCGGGTTCCGACACTAAGAGGACTTTGAGGTCCTGGTTGCGTTGTGTGTTTTGTTATGAGAGCTACTTGCATGAGTGTTCAGTTTGTGAAATGTAATTGAGCTGAACATTTTGGTATGTGCACTTTTCTGTATGTGTGGTAAACTTAAATAATACAAGGTTGTTGTTTTTGGGTTTTCCTACAATCCTTTTTTTCTGTCTTTTTCTTTTTTTTTTTTTTTTTTTTTTTTTTTTTTTTGGACGTAGTCTCGCTCTGGTGCCCCAGGGCTGGAGTGCAGTGGCACGATCTCCGCTCACTGCAAGCTCCCACCGCCTCCCGGGTTAACGCCATTCTCCTGCCTCAGCCTCCTAGAGCTGGGATACACGGCGCCGCCACCACGCTCGGCTAATTTTTTTTGTATATTCAGTAGAGACGGGGTTTACCGTGTTCGCCAGGATGGTCTCGATCTCCTGACCTCGTGATCCGCCCACCCTCGGCCTCCCAAAGTGCTGGGATTACAGGCGTGAGCCACCGCTCCCGGCCTTTTCTTTCTCTTTTTGACCAGCATTCTTCTTTTTTTTTTTTTTGAGATGGAGTCTCACTCTGTCACTCATGCGGAGTGCAATGGTGTGGTCTCAGCTCACTGCAACCTCCGCCTCCCGGGTTAAAGTGATTCTCCTGCCTCAGCCTCCGGAGTAGCTGGAATTACAGGTGCGTGCCACCACACCCGGGTAATTTTTGTATTTTTAGTAGAGACAGGGGGTTTCACTTTGTTGGCCAGGCTGGTCTCGAACTCCTGACCTCGTGATCCACCTACCTCAGCCTCCAAAGTGCTGGGATTACAGGCATGAGCCATTGAGCCCGGCCTGACACAGAGTTTCATTCTTATCACTCAAGCTGGTGTGCAGTGGTGTGATCTCAGCTCACTCCGCCTCCCGGATTCTAGCTGCCTCAGCCTACCTAGTAGCAGGTATTACAGGCGCCCGCCACCATGCCCAGTTAACTTTGTATTTTTAGTAGAGATGAGGTTTCACCATGTTGGCCAGGCTGGTCTTGAACTCGTGACCTTAGGGTCATCAGCCTGCCTTGACTTTCCAACGTGCTGGGATTACAGGTGTGAGCCACCAGCTTGGCCTTTTTTTTTTTTTTTTTTTAATGGAGCTCCCTGAATGGAAACATTTCCAGAATCACTGACTTATCCAATGTCTACATGATGCCATACACTATGTCAAAAAAAATAGTTTGACTGGCATGGCTCCTGTTTTCAAAGAGTTTATGATCTGGTAAAGGAGCTATGAGCCAGTTTATTAATACTGAACCATCTTACAGCATGAGGTAGCCTGAGCATAGACTCTTTAAAAAACAAAAACAAAACAAAACAACAACAACAACAACAAAAAGTAATTTCAAAGAAGAGGAGGACTGCAAGTTTAATGACCCAGGAAGACATTGGAAAGAAGCTGGCATCAAGGTTCAGGCTTGAAGTGACCGCTAAGGTTTCAGTAGGTGAAGGTATAGGAGGGAAATCCAGGTCTAGAATATGATAAAGGCAAAGGTCTAGACTAGAGGTAGGAAAGCATGGTGTGTGTTATGTCAATCTGGATTAGTTCGCCAGAACATAAAGATTTGTATTTGGGAATATTGGGAGAAATTTTAGGTTCCCAAATTTGAGGCCAGATTGCAGAAGGTACATGGTACCTGAGTAAAGACTCGGCAATTTATTCAGAATACAATAGGAAACAATTAAAAGTTTGTAAATAGAAATGTTTCAAAATTGATCTGCTGTTCTAGATAAATTGAGGTGAGGAGGAAGGAGATTTAGGAGAGGGGGAAGATGGTTAGTAGTCCATTGTAACTGTCTGATGAGAAGAACTTTAACTAAAAGCTGGTTATGAACAGTAATGAAAAGGAAGGGGTGAATATGAAGGGAGCTATTGAAAGATTGTAATATGACTTTTATCCATTCAGTAAGGTTTTTTTTTGTTTGTTTTTTGTTTTTTTTTTTTTTTTGAGACGGAGTCTCGCTCTGTCGCCCAGGCTGGAGTGCAGTGGCCGGATCTCCGCCACCTCGCCCGGCTAGTTTTTTGTATTTTTAGTAGAGACGGGGTTTCACCGGGTTAGCCAGGATGGTCTCGATCTCCTGACCTCGTGATCCGCCCGTCTCGGCCTCCCAAAGTGCTGGGATTACAGGCTTGAGCCACCGCACCCGACCCCTCCATTCAGTAAGTATTGAGTGACTACTATGTGTTAGATACTATGGAGATTTAGTAGTGATCAAAATACTCATTTCCATCTCATTTTCTGAACTTAATTTACTTTTAGGGAATTTACACTGTCTTTTGGGATGTGTAACTTTGTTTTTTTGGTTTTGTTTTATTAAGACAAGCCTCACTCTTTCACTGCTGGAGGGCAGTGGTGCGAAGAAGTAGCACAAGTACTTTTAGACTCCTCTTGACCAGTTTGCTGCTCAAAAGAAAGATACTGCTTTCTTGTCAGCCCAGCAGCCACAGAGGAGGAGGAGGAGGAGGAAGGAAAAATGCAGACAGACTTCTAGTCAAAACAGAGTGTAAGCCTAATTTTGAGCAGATGGGTGCTGCATGCATTACACTTCTGAACTTTTCCTCATATCTGCTGTGGTAGATTGCTTCCAGAGTTGGCCACAACAATGCCTCCCACCCACTTGCCCTCAGGCAGTGTGACTTTGCCCCCTTTCAATCAATAAGTAAAGCTTATTCCCCCTCCTCTTGAATCTGAGCTAGGCTTCTGACTAGCTTTCACCAAAAGAATGTGGCAGAAGTGATATTCCCTGAGTTCTAGACCTTAAGAGGTCTGGACCTTAAGAGGCATTACCGCTTCCGGGGTTTGGTTTGGTTTGGTTTGGTTTCTAATTTTTGAGAGAGAGTCCCTGGGTCTGTTCCATCTAAACACTGTTGAAGCAAGACACAGATCTGAGGGACCTCCAGATGTGCTGCCACAGCTTCTGTTTCTGCCCTCTTGGAACCCTGGGCCTTCATGGAAGTCCAGTTACCCTGATAGACCATTTGAAAAGAGACCCTGTAGGATGAAGGGTGGTAAGGAGAGAGGGTTCAGCATTACAGTCAGCCATCCAAGTAGCCAGAAGTGAGTGAGGCCATCTTGGCTTCTCCAGTCCAAATGAAAGCTGCCTGAATGAGCCCAGTCCTCACCACATGGAATATAGACAAGCCATCCTACCAGGCACTCCATGGAATCATAAGCAAATATGTAAGTATTAAGACACTAGGCCAGGTGTGGTGGCTCACACCTGTAATCCCAGCACTTTGGGAGGCCGAGGCAGGTTGATCACGAGGTCAGGAGTTCGAGGCCAGCCTGGCCAACATAGTGAAACCCTGTCTCTACTAAAAATACAAAAATCAGCTGGATGTGGTGGTATGTGCCTGTAGTTTCAGCTACTTGGGAGGTTGAGGTAGGAGAATCACTTGAACTTGGGAGGCAGAGGTTGTGGTGAGCTGAGATGGTGCCATTGCACTCCAGCCTGGGCGACAGAGCAAGATTCTGTCTCAAAAAAAAAAAAAAAGAAGACAGTAGTAGGCTGTGTGCTGTGGTGTGTGCCTGTAATCCCAGCTGCTTTGGAGGCTGAGGTGGGAGGATCCCTTGAACTCAGGAGTTCAAGACCATCCTAGGCAACATACGAAGACCCCATCTCAAACAGTACTAACTGTATACTTCACTTTTTTTTTTTTTTTTTAGATGGAGCCTCGCTCTGTTGCCCAGGCTGGAGTGCAGTAGCACGATCTCGGCTTACCATAACCTCCGCTTCCCAGGTTCAAGCAATTCTTCTGCTTCAGCCTCCTGAGTAGCTGCAACTACAGGCATGCACCACCATGCCCAGCTAATTTTTGTATTTTTAGTAGAGACAGGATTTCACTATGTTGGCCAGGCTAGTCTCAAACTCCTGACTTCATGATCCACCTGCCTTGGCCTCCCAAAGTGCTGGGATTACAGGCATAAACCATCGTGCCCGACCCTTCACTTTTTACTTGATTCTTTGGATGAACGTTTTTTTCCCTCAAGTCTTGTGCATATCTGACTGAAAACAGAATATCCACTAGGATTAGTCAACCTACCATTATTAAATGTTAGAATAGATAAGGAAATATAAAGGGAAGTCAAAGTTGGGTCTAATTG